GCGAATTCGTGTACGTAATCGTCTGCTTCGTTTAATCACAGGTACTATTTCCTCTTCTATTGAATCAGGACCGTTGATTGATTTGTCGGAAAATGTATCGCCAATCACTTTCTACTACGTGTTTCGTAATCATTTGATTTTAAAGTTATTTTAGGATTCGAGCGATAGTTTAGTTTGATTGTATAACGAATTTGGATTACGCTCGTATTTAGTTCAAGTTTCTGTTGATATAATCGGCGATTTATTTTTCATGCGTTGAAACGTTTCAGATTCTTGCGTGTTGATGATAGAAACCAGTGGCTCTTAACTTGGTGGAGGTACAGTGTTGTTTCTTCTCGCATTTCATAATAGTGTAGTTGGTAGTAAGCTTGAAAGATGTGTTATGATTGCGGTGCTAATAATCATAAATGAAGACAGCTGGTGCATGGCAGCTGGCCAGAAGAGATCTTCTAGCCATGTCTGGATCGCGACAGCAACGGGCGCATTTGAAGAGGCCAATTTGGATCATTTTCTTTGTTTCGTTGGTTATTCTTTTTCTGATTGGTGCCTATGTTGTTTTCCCGTCAAGAAGCTTCGCGGCGTGCTATTTCTTTTCTTCTAAGGATTGTACTATGCTCAATTTACCTGTGTCTCCTCCTGCTAGGGAACTCACTGATCATGAGAATATAGCTTGGGTTGTAATTAATGAACTTCTGAGGAAACCTCCTGTTCAGTCCAAGAACCCAAAAATTGCTTTCTTGTTCTTGACTCCTGGGACTTTGCCTTTTGAGAAGCTGTGGGAAAAGTTCTTTCAAGTAAGGCTTTGTTTTTATGTTTCTTTTCTTTGCATTAAATGACAAACTCTCTTTTATTAAGATTTTAAATATATGCTTGTTGCCGAATTAGCCTTTTGTTTTTCTTGGATATAGTGTTTTTGGTTGAATATAATAGCTTTTGCTGGGACTTCTTACTTTTTAGAGAATGTTTGAGCTGTCTTACCAGTAGTTAAGATTTCCATCTTGACCTCCTAACAATTTGATGCTTGGAATAGCAACTTATTCTTATATAACGGCCAATTCAGATCAGAAGTCCTGATACTTAGTTACATTTATGAAGCTTGTGAATGTGGCGTACTGATTGATTTTGTTTCAAAGATGAGATAGGTTGTGAATGGAAATGTGAAGTTTCTTTGAACATCAAGTGGCTAATGCTTTATCATTAAAATTTCACATTGTGGTCATGGGAGATAGTAAAATTTGTGGCTATGAGATAAGTTCAAGATAATCATTAGATTCTTGATTCCTTGGGTACACAAGAGACTGCTCCTCAATGAAATTTGATGAATCTGGTGGTTTCTCTTTCAAGTGAGGTTATGGAACTTTATGGCTGATAAAAGATTCAAGAACAGATTGACGATCGAGTGATGCTTATCGTAATAATTTATATTGCCTCTAAAATTCAGTTGCTTGTTCATTTTTTCAGTATAACAAAAATTACGAACTGCCTAATCTATTATTAAAACCAATAAAACGCAATGATTTGGTACTTGCAAAATATTTTGTTGTAGTTTAGATCTCTATTGGGTACTTTTCATTTTTTGCTTGCAGAATATAAAGTTTACTTCTTTTCTTTCTCAAATTCAACAAAAGCTCTTTCAGTAGCTATTTTGACATATTTTTTTCCTTGCACACAAAATGATGTGATTTATGCTCTTCAACAGGGGCATGAGGACAGATTCTCTGTTTATGTACATGCATCTAGTCAGAAACCTGTGCACGTGAGCCGTTACTTTGTTGGCCGTGATATTCATAGTGAGAAGGTACACAGAGGGACTTATAACATACATTTCAATTAAATGCAGAATTGCTATTATGTAGCCTTAGCTTGATGGTCTGTTTTTATGATATATATGATATCAACATGTGGTCAAGACTACAAGTTAAAGGACATGAGAGAGTTCTGTTTGAAATCACTCTTGTGCAGGTGGTATATTTGTATATTTGTTTTGTAGAAGTGGAAAGAATAGATGATTTATTTGTAAATAATAATGTATTTGTTCACTTGATATGTGAATCCTTGAGAAGCTTGGAGGTTGTCTTTAATTGTCGGCATTGCTGATGACCTTTATGATCTGCGGATAATTATTAAGATGAGCATATTCCCTTCAGGTAGCCTGGGGAAAAATTTCTATGCTTGATGCAGAGAAGAGACTGTTGGCACATGCACTTCTGGATGCTGATAACCAGCAATTTGTTTTGCTGTCTGATAGGTGATTGATTTACATATTTTCTTGTTATTTCTTGTATGTGAATCTGTGCTTCTTGTTATATGGTGTGATTTTGTCTAATTCTTTTAAACTTTATTTGTTTCTTTCAGTTGTGTACCGCTGCACAACTTTGACTACGTGTATAACTACCTGATGTATACGAATGTTAGCTACATTGATTGGTAAGCAGCTATGTATTTCGAAAGGAAGCCTTTTTCTAACATGTTGTTGAACTTAAGAAAGTTCTTCCTAGCTAGCTTCATATTTAGTATCACAGATTTAGTAAATTTACTATAAAGTTGGCATTTAAATTACTTTTGTCTCCTGGTTGACTCTCTGTCTATCTCCAGTTTTGAGGACCCTGGTCCACATGGCAGTGGCAGGTATTCAGAACATATGTTGCCTGAACTTGAAAAGAAGGATTTCCGGAAGGGTGCTCAGGTATTTCTTTTAGCATATGAACATCTGTTTGATGTAAAAACTTGGATCTTAGTTGTAGCCTACAAAGGATTGAAATTTATGTACGGTTTTCATATAAGCCCTCTGATGTTAGGCATTATCCATACAGGATATATCACCAATTTTATTTCACATGGTGGTTTAATGTGGCTAATCCATATCCTATATATATTGCCTGTTCGTAACTGCATGACCATATTGATTATATACCATGCGTTTATTGCTATCTTACTTTAATAACAGGTTTAGACTTGTTTGACCTTCTCTCATCAAGGCATACTTCCATATGGAATCCATGTCAGGGTATTTAAGTTTGAAAGTTCTTTTTGGCCTTTTTACCCTTGCACTTATGTGCGAGGACGGCTGGCCTGAATTTCTATACTGGAGAGTAGAGAATTATTTATATGCTCATCTCTTCTGAAGACATAAAATATGCTACTTTTTTGCATCTTTTGAGAATTATCTTAGACAATTTTCTGCTTAGACAATGAAATTACATTCACAGATATCATTGAGGCTCATTCATGTCTGTTTTTCAGTGGTTTTCCATGAAACGGCAGCATGCTATAGTAATTATGGCAGACAATCTTTTCTACAGAAAATTCAAGTTTTACTGCAAGGTAATATCAGCATTGGCTTTGTCGTTTCAGTATTTGTAGCATATGCTGTTGATCCATTGAGAATTTTTGTCTTGAATCTGTGTGTGTAGGTTTCAAATCCTCTGGTATGCTTACGTACAAACAAAAAAGAGAAAATAAACTACTTGACCTATTTCTATTTGAATCTTCTAGATACTTATGTTTCTTGTGATTCGACTGTGGCTTAAATCTGTATTGTTTATTTGCTTCAACATAATTAGTGTATGGTGTCAGTAAAGAAATAAATGATATTTTCATGGGGTGCTGAGGGTCATCTATGCATGGCTAGAGGCCCTGTGTTTGCACATGTAGGAATATGATTCGTAAAATACTAAGCTGTTGTGTAGATCAATCAAGTTTGCTTTCTGCTTCTACTTGTACTTCTTGCTTTCAGATCCTTATAGTTGCTGTGGATTGGATTTTGTTCCCTTTTGTTCACCTTTGTACTAAAAAGGATTTATGGAATGATTTAGATATTATCAACAAATGAGCTGAACATTTCAGTTGGTTAAAAGAGGACCTTTGTTGTGACTTCATGTAGTGGTTATTAAGAGGGCAACCCTGCTTTCTTGGTTTCTGTGTTTATGATTTTCCTTTATTTGCTGTTAATTTTTTTGTTTTTACTTCTTCAGCCAAATATGGATGGGCGAAACTGCTATGCAGATGAACACTACCTGCCAACTCTATTTCATGTCAGTACATCAATCACTGTTCATCTATTTGAAAGTTAAACTACATTGAACTCTTGATTTTCCTTGTCGCCAACTCCATCTACTATTTGTGTTCTTCAGATGATTGATCCGAGCGGAATTTCAAACTGGTCAGTGACTCATGTTGATTGGTCTGAAGGAAAGTGGCATCCAAAAGCATATCGGGCTCAAGACGTTACTTTTGAGCTCCTTAAGAGCATTGCAGTACGTTAAAATATCTCAATCTTTGTTTTCTTCCTTGCTGTGTTTTATGCTTACCCTATTGGATGACAATTCGTTATGGATTGCAGTCCATTGATGAAACCGTACATGTTACGAGTACTGGAAAGGTACAAAGTTCATTCTGCTAAAATTATTTTCATAGAAAAATGTTTAATCCTATTTATTTATATTCATCCACTGCTGCAGAAGAAAAAGACAGTCCAACCTTGCTTGTGGAATGGAATGAAACGACCTTGTTACCTATTTGCAAGAAAGTTCTATCCTGAAACTCTTGATAGATTGCTGTTCCTCTTCTCCAATTACACTACAGTTTAGCCATTTTTGGCTCTTCATACTTAATTTTTGGTCTGATTATTGTCATTTGGCACCTGCTCCTTCAGCTATCATGTGTAGATTTAGAACGTAAAGCAGCCAATTTATACACTTTCTGGATATGTTCCACTTCACTCGGTAGATTAGATGTTTGTTGACAAAAGCAGATCGGCCTGTTTAGTTACGAGTACTTGACTTGGGGCCTTGGGGAAAATGGGAGGCTGTCAGCTTGTTTCTTATTGCTGCTTCCTCGTGCTTTCTTCAAAATTTGGCCTTCATATTTTTGGGATCGTACTTTCGTTTATGTACTTAAAAAAATTCATTACAGAATATTTTGGTTTATATACATAAATGAGTGCATTTTCTGTTTTTCTTTATTTATAGAAGTTAAATATTCTGGTGTTACTGTCAGTGCACTTTGTTAGGCGTACTTTATCATGTTTAACAGTAACTGGTTTATTTAATGAGCTATTACTCACATTTGGCATGGCTAATTTGATTGTCTCCTTTGAAGTTTGGTAAAATCATTTTTGCCTTAATTTTGGAAAACAAATTTTGTCATCTCTAGATAGAGGTTTTCTTATTTAAATGCAATTAAATTTCAATAAATTAAAATCTTTATAATCACAAAAATTTATTAATTAATCGATATATTATTTAGTCGTATAAACTATAAATTAATAAATTGAGACATTCTTTATTTTTTTTTTCCAAAACATTGAATTTAATGTATGTACATATTGTGTATGATTAATGTAGTATAGAGAATAACTCATAGTTAATATGATGAGAATCCAAGATCATGATGTTCTTTAAAGATACAAGAGTGTTCATTGAAGATCAAAGACCCTATGAAGGACAACATTCGGCTCAAACACTCAAGGAAGCTCACAAACGAATTTAATGTATATACATATTGTGTATAGTTAATGTAGTATAGAGAATAACTCTAGTTAATATGATGAGAATTCAAACCTATCATGTTCTTTAAATATACAAGAGTGTTCATTGAAGATTCAAAGACCCCACGAAGGACAACATTCGATCCAAACACTCAAAGAAGCTCACAAACTTGTCAAAGAGGTGTTAAGGGTCTAAGATATGGCACAAGCCCTTTTCTATAGCCTAGACCGTGGAGATCAACTGGGAAGAAACTTCATTGGTCCATGCCCAAGTTGTGGATGTTATTTGGTTTAATTGGTGAAGGAAAATCAAGAAAATTGTAATTAGGGACATATATCATTAATTTAAGGAAGGGTTGTCCATAGCATTAAATGGGTATGACTTACACTTTTGCATTTGCCCGGTGGAGAATTATTCCCTAATATTTTGTGTAAGATTTTGTTGAAATATTTGTTAGGGTAATTTTCATGTTTTGTAAAGCCTATTTAAATGCCACTCTTTTGTAACATGAAGTTAGACATTGAATATTGCATGAATAGTATGTACCTTGGAGAATTGTTTTCTCTTTGAGTTCCTTTACCCAAGTTCGGCCAAACTTGGTGGTAGATTGATCTTTCAAGCTGGTAGAGTTCCTTTCGGCTAGAATGATCCTTGATCATCTTTCTTGTAAGTTATTTTTCCTTTGGTTACCTTTCATCTAATTTTCGGGTTTGATTTGCCTTGTTTATGATCCAATGTGTTGTGTTTGCAAGTAGAGTGAGTTTGTGTTGATTGAGTATAGATAAAAAGTGTTGCTCCAAGTTGTCATAAGGGTTGTGTATGTTTGTGGAGTGTTGGCCGGATTTGATTTAGGCTGTTACAAGTGAGTCCTACTTTAGGTTAAGTTAGAATTAGTTGAAGTAGAATGATATATGAATTGAGGTTACAAGAATTCATATCATAATATGATATAAGGAATATATCAAAAACCTCCTAATTAAGTCATGTATATATATAATTTTGATATATAAGAAAATTATTAATTTATATATCAAGTCATATCTAATATGTTTTAATTTTAAAATGTATTATTCTATAAATTTATCGAATTATTAAATTATCATATTGGTCCCATGTCAGGAGAAATAAATTTTTTTATTTAAACGAGATAATTAAGTTTAATGAAGATTAATTTATAGAGATTTAATTATAATAAAATAACGTTTAAATGGATTAAGTGATTTTGGTTAATTGACGGTTTTCATCGAGAAATGATTATATCAAAATGGTTAATAATTGAACATACTATACTTACTCATATCTTACTAACCATCTTACTATCCTTTGTAATATACGACATAGTACTGGTACTATACGCATAGTACGGGTACCATGTAAAATTTTAACAAAGGTAGTAAGGGGGTTAGTACAAGTCGTGAGTAAGCAAAGTGTTTTTCTTAATAATTTGATTAAAACAATGAGTCTTATTTTTATAATGTCTTTTTTACCCTTGTATACTGTTAAATTTGATGGATAGAAGTATTACTAGCGGGTTTGTTAATCTTAATCAAGGGTGACCGACATTATCTTCCAAAATTGGAGCAAACAACTTTTTCCCACCCAAGGTTTGCCTTAAATGATATTTTTTCATCAAAAAGGTTTTAAAATACTATTTTTTTACCCAAAGTTTTTATTCCAACTAATATTTGTCTGATTCTGACATCTTTACGATCTCACACCATTATCATTCTCTTCCGCAATCATCACTCACCGAAACTCCTCAAACCTTACTCTCCAATTATTAGCAATCGAGCAATTTGTGAAACGCGTAACTGTCCTTTCCAAGTCAGATTTTGACCAATCTCAACCACTAAAATTCAACCTACTATCACTAAAAGAATCATTGACACTTCTTCTTCATAGGCCCCAACAGTCTTGGATCAAGTTAGCTCTCTATTGATCATCGAATCAGAAAGTGTATTTTAGGTCGTGAACAGAATATAAACTTTAGGTGAAAAAATAGTATTTTGAAACCTTTTAGGTTAAAATGTATTATTAAGGCAAACCTTGGGCGGAAAAAAGTCGTGGACTCTCCAAATTGTGAGGAGCATTTTTGCAAACTTAAAAGTTAAGAGTGATAATGTATGATCTGGGATTTGGAAATTAATGCGTAATTATAAATCCACGTCACATATTAGAATGTAGAATTAAGAATTAATTTTTTTAAAGTAATATTTTTTATTATTTAAATTTCCCGAAAATCTTGTGTCTGTCCATTCCGCACCAATTCAGCTCAGACATTTATAACTTGGACAGAAAAAGAGCATTACATCAAGAAATCCTGCAAATCCTTTTATGGTCTCTTTGACTGTCCCACATCCCAGCGCTAGCTGGCAATCTGTGACGTGGCAAAATTCATGCCAACGGCCAGGATTCACCTTCTTATCATCAATAACACAGCAAATCAAATCCATCCACACCGTCCGTTCAAAAATCAGCCAATAGATTGGCAGCGCGGGAAAACACAATAAAATATAATAAAAATAATCTGTGTCGCCAAACTGTCACGTACCACAAGTGGACACAAAAAGAAACCAAGGGTCACTCTCGTTTGCCGTTTGGTGCTTTGAGGAGGTGATTTGTTTTTGAGGAGTTGAATGGCACCGAGGAAGAGAAAAGCTGTGGGAGGAGAAGAGGCACCGGCGGCGAAGCCTCAAACGACATCGATGAGGATGACTCGGAGAGCCACTCGCCAAGCCAACTTGGACTTGAACGAGTCGGCTACTGAGTTGGCCAAGGCCGAGTTGCCGAAAAAAAAGGCTAAGAAGGCGAAACCAGCTAAGAAGCCGAAGAAGGAAGAAGTGAAAGCGGAGGAGACTGATTCTGAGAAAGAGAAACCGGAGGGGGAAGAAGCTGGTGGCGATGAGTCGGAGAAGAGGACTATTGTGATTGAGCACTGGTAACTTTCCATTTTTGTAGCAATTTCTTGTCTTAATTTTTTGTTTTGTTTCCAAGAAAATGATATAATTCTTGAAAGTTGTAGTTTTATTAGGTTTTGTGTTGTTTTTTTAGGTTTTGCCAAATACCAGGTCCAGGATTCCATACTTGTTTTATATTTATGTTTGGTTCCTGTGGTAGTTGCGGGAAAATGGGACAAGTGAAATTCAGTCTTTGTTATTTTCTTCTTTAAGTAATTACTCATTTGGAGGAAAAGAAGCGCAAATGAGATTTTGAGGGCATGTTTCTTGTTCTCATTTGACAAAAGAGAAAGGTCTCTCAAAAAAAAAAAAAAAATATGCTTGTTCTATAAGGTTTTCTGGAGGATATTTTTGTTATTTTTTTTTAGGTTTTAGGGTTTTGAACTCACAGCAATCCAAAACTTAATATTTTCTTTGTGTTTGATGCTTCGTTTTGTTTGTTGAGAAATTGGTGCGATATGAAGGAAAACATGGGGGAAGCTGATGAATTTAGTGCTATATTTCTTGTTTAGGTGCAGGCTGAGAAATTACTTAGTTGCAGTTAGTTTCTTGCTGTTATATCATTTCCATCTTTGATTGTTGAGAAAGACGATAAAAAGATTGAACTAATAAGTTGTATGAGTATAACATCACTGAATTTAATCTGTCGTGCTCCATGTCACAGAACTAATTTACACCCTGAAGCCAACAATATGGCACTTTTCCGAGAGTTAAGGAAATTGTCCTGTCAGGGTAGGGCAGCCCGGTCCCCGCAGAGAATGATTGAAATTTGACATTCTTTATGAAACTTTTTAAAAGATTGATGGTGTTTTGTGTCACATATTTATTGAATGCCCTTGGACTTTTTCAGTGCCTACTTGTTAGAGAAGTTGTGTTTTCTAATAGTGTATTTTTGTGCTTGGTTTGGGTTTTTAGTGCCATGAGATACACGTCTTTACATGTAAGATACCTACTTGTGGGAACAGTGCCAGAATGTTTGTCTTCAGATTTTGCAATATGCTCCTGCTATGCTGAGGAGAACAACTTTTTCTTCCATTGTACAATAACTTTTCTGATTAATTTTTTGATTGACTTTAGCAAACAGTGCTCTTCATTCAAGACAAGAGCTAATCTGGTGAAAGATGGTTTGGAGAAAGATGTCGCCGGGATCACAGTGCTACTGAATCCTGAGAAGGTATACATTCTTTTACTGAATCCATTAGATGTCATGAGGTGATGATCTGCAATTCAATGATTTTTTATGTCCATTTCATTATTTCTTTTGTCTGCTTGGGCACTGAGAAGGCATGACAATATTTTGTCCTGCTCTCCTTTGACTAATTTCTCATCTTCTGGGAGTAGAAACTGATATATTAATTTTTAGTGTCATCTATGCTAAACTGGTGCTTAGTTTATTGACTTACTGTGTTCTGGGCACCAGAGACTTCTATATTTACATATGTGAATATGCTTTCTGCTGTGACATTCCCCGCTGGGTAACAGCATATTTTACTTTATTACTATTTATTTGGATCTTTTTGTTGTAAGGAAGTTTTATGACAGTATTTCTAATCCGGTTTCTCTCTAGTGTCATAATAGTTATATCATTTAGGTTTGTGTTTTAATTTTGAATGGGGAAATTTTGATAGTTCTATGCTTCTATTAGGGCTAAACAGGTTGGGCTACAAAAAGTTGGGAGGTAAGAAGCATTTTGTCATGAGAAACAAAGCTGTAAGTTAGAAGCCCAAAGGAATTTCAGCCTGTTCTATAACACAAATGTGAACACAGTCCACTAGGAAGGAACTGATTGAGAAAGGAAACCAGTAATTACCATTTGCCTACAACATATTGCAACCCATTCAACCTTGAGATTTTGCTGTAACGTTTGTGAGAGCTTCGGATTATGTACCTTAAAGTTTTTGGTTTTAATTGTGGTAAATTAGTGATAGGTTCTAGATTTTTTTTACCATTACAAAGAAGCAAATAGAAAGACAAAGCTGTTAGTGGGTGAGGCAAAGACACAGTGGTTCTTTGATTTATATAAAAGGCACAAAATTTATGGAGCAACCACCCTCTTTACTCTGCCTTGGAATTCTCTAATTCTTCACTTTGTGAAATATGTTCATATGTATTCTTGTTTTTATACTGATATTATATCAAGTTGATTTGGTTTGGTATTTCTTATTCTTTCTTCCTACAGCCAAGACGGGGCTGCTTTGAAATACGCGAGGAAGGTGGAGAGACGTTCATTAGTCTTCTGGTAAACTTACATGAAGAGTATTTAATTTGTAGCTGGTTTATTGTTCTGAACTAATATGAATGCATGTCTTGGGATTGTTATAAGTTGTCTGATTTCTGCTTTGCCTCTTTTGCAGGACATGAAGCGACCATTTATACCAATGAAGGAACTTGACATGAACAAAGTGATTTCTGATATAGTAGAGAAGTTGAAATGAGTTTGATCCTGGCAGTCACTGCCTTTTTTGTATTTGGTTGAAGCTAACCAAGTTAGTTTGGGTGGCAGTGGAAGCCTTAGCACTGAGATTTTATTGATTGATGTAGGCTTTGTGTGTTTGTTTGTTTTGACATGAATCAAGTGAAACCAGACGGTTGACACAGATGAAAGCTTTTTTGGATACTGTTGACCTGCTCAATTGTAGAGCCAATTATGCTATGGGATTTGGATTTAGGTTATCTTGATGTTGAATTTAGTATTCTTTGCTCCATCTTCGCGTCCTTTCTTTTCTGTTTTTATATCAGTAGTTCGTTCCTCCTCCTTGAGGATATATGCTAGATATTTTTCTGGGAAAAAAGTCTGGTTTTATTTCAGATACTCAGTAGTTTCTTCATCTTCCTTGGGGATATATGCTTGATATTTTTTCTCGGAAAAAAATTATACTGTTTTTTAAGAGTAATATTACACTTATAAATTTTTTATATAAAGTCATTTATATTTTGATACGATATTACTTATGTATTGTCATCTTTGTATTAAAACCTGGACCGGACTGGCTGGTTGGACCGGTTCGATTGGGACCTGGCAGCTTCTCCGGTCTGGTTCAGGGTTTAGGAGGGTATTTGTAATATTTTAAATTTATAGGAACTAATTTGTTATTTTAGGGGTGTTTCGGAGATATATCAAAAGTTTAGGGATCCATTGTAATTTTTTGGGGTATTTTCGAAATAAATAAAAATTTTAGGGATTAATTTGAAATTTTTGAGGGATATAGGATACTTTTGTATATACTAAAATTTAAGGGATTAATAGTAATTTTTAAAAAATTAAATGATTGCTTACGTCGTCATCGGTCCGATTGGTTTGGTCGGTTGACTCGTGACTTGGGTAGCAAAATGGGCTGTTCTTCGGTGGTCCGGGTTTTAAAACAATGATTGTCAAATAATTTATTATCATTTAATGTGTATTTATTAAATTGATTTATTATATTAATTTTTTCAATCATAATATGACGTCATTTTGTAGGTAGGAATGATTTTGTATAAATTTTTTTGTAAGTGCAGTATTATTTGTTTTTTATTAATGTTTCATGTTTCAATATATGAATATATATATATATATATATATATATGATATATATATAGAGAGAGAGAGAGAGAGAGACGAGAGAGAAGAGAGAGAGAGAGAGAGCAAACCACATAGTGTCCCACCCCGAGATTAGAGAAATGGCAAGTTTCCCACCTTCGGTTTTGTTTTATCTAGATTTTCATCTGACACTGTTATACTAAATGATTCATGTGCCATCCCATTCCACACCAAACACAACCCTTCCAAACCACCCATTCTCATTGGGTTATGCGTTTTTTCGCAACTTCCAAACTTTTTCGATTGCCCTCTCCACCAAGCCACTCAACTCACCCGGCCGTCCTCTTAAAAACCCATTTCTTGACCTTGTTCACCCTCATTTCAATGCTGATTGAAGGGTTGGTTGAGTTAAATGATAATTAGGGTTTAAAATTGTTTGGTGGAGTTTTGTGTTGTTTGGAATCCGATTGAGGTTACTTCAGAAGTGTTTAGGGCTTGTGGATTTTCCCGATCGTGACGCTCCAAAGGCTCCTCCTTCGACATTTCCAACACGCACAACAACGTGTTTTAGGTTTGATGTTTTTTTTTTAAGTTTTTACTAGTAGTTTAACAAACAATGGTGAAGCCACCGAGGCCCCCCCTTGGCAAAAATTCTAGATCCACCACTGGGTGGTAGGGTGTGTCGGCAGGTTGGCATCGAAGGCTGGTCGGAAAGTCGCACAGTTGTGGAAGATGAAAAGTCGCATAGTTGGGGTTTTGCGATGGTGTGGGTTTTGCGGCAAAGGGATGGTGTTGGTGTTGGTGTTGATGATGGTGGTGGAGTAGGAAGAGTTGGGTTGTGAGAAATTTTGGATAAAAAGATCTAAATACTCTTTAGCCGTTTAATTAAACGATTTTTATTAATTTAACGGTAGAAATCTGAAATTTATGAAACTAGGGTGTAAACTTGCTAGTTCACAAAAACTTGGGTAAGAACATGTATGTATATATATGTTATTTCAATTGTTTGTTTTGGGTCTTGTTAATATATATTAGAATTAGATCTGGCAAAAGAGGGTTCGTACCCGCGAGTAAACGGGTACTCTCATCTAACGGACGGGTACATGTATCTCTTAATATTACTCGTTTCAAAATTACTCGTACTTGGCTTACCTGTGATTTTTACGGGCGGGCCGGATAATACCCCGCGGGTACTCGTACTTTAACTTAAACCCAAAACCATTTCTCACTCCTGCAGCCAGCAGCGCCCAGCACCATCAGCTCTCAATCTCTCTGAGACTCTCACGCAGCTCTCCACTCAATCTCTCTCACGCTCAACTCGTCTTCTCTCTCACGGTCACGACGCAACTTTCAATCTCCCTTTCTTTCTTCAGCTCTCAGTTTAACTTGAATGTTTATCATTTATTAAAAAATAAATAAATGATAAATATTCAAGAGGTTTCATCGACTCTTGGCAAGAGGTCATAAATTTTAGTAATAATTATTTCTTGGAATGTGGTTAATAATATTACTATTTTAATACAAGGCTTTCGTGGTCATAAATGAGTTTTCCTCCTATTTCATCTGTCTCACAGTGGCTACTTTAGCAGTAGCACTAATCTCTGCCATCTTCTTCCTCAGATTCCATGCCAAAAAGTCGCTTAGAAGACTAAAAAAAATATCACGCCACCTCTCCCCTGAACAAGTACTTAATTATTTCAGGCTCTTTGACTTAACATGGACCTTTCATTCAAATATAAAACCTACAGATTGTCCTCCTTTCATATGATTTTGTTTTTTGCGGGTGACCGGCGGGTATGCGGGTACGGGTCATACATTTTCAAACCCATGAAATATTTTACCCGTGAACCCGTACGCATTTCACCCGTTTCCTGTAATTACCCGACCGGTACCCACCCAACACGCATGTTTGGAAATAATGCATAAGTTATCGTTTTCTGGATATTTAAAGTATCAATTTATTTATTTCTTTGGCTATATTTTAATCAAATACGATATTAGAAAGGCTGAACGACTTACGCATACCCAAGGTTTGTTAAAATGATAAACTGGTACTCAAAAGGTTTTGAAACGATAAATAGGTACCTTCCGTCATGTTCTGTTAATAATTTACGTTTGATAACAGTGAAAAGATTAAAATACCCTTGAAAGTTTGATATTTTAGTTTTTTTATTTCTAAAAAACCCACTAGGTTTGCTAGTTTGACTAAATATTCTAATATATAAAATTTTTATAAAATAAAAAAAACACCCCCGCCACCCGCAGTACCAGATTCTGGCCACTACCACCGGAATCTGGCCGAAAAATTACGTTACGACACAGACCCGTGTAGATTTGGCATTTTCTGGCAAGATCCGTGGCTAATCTGACCGGAAAAAGCCAGATCTACGGCTAGATCTAGTCGTCGAGGCCGGAATCTAGTCAAAAAATTGCGTTACGACACAGACCCGTTGGATCTGTGTCGTAACCCGTCAATCTGACATTTTTTGACCAGATCTACGGCCAGAACTGGTTGTCGAGGCCGAAAAAGGCCAGACGTAAATTTGGCCTTTTCCAGCGAGATTCATGGTGGATCTGATCGAAAAAGGCCAGATCGACGCGTTACGACACAGATCCGACGGGTCTGTGTCGTAACATAATTTTTCGACCAGATTCCGTCGGTGGTGGCCAGAATTTAACACTGCGGGTGACAGGGGTATTTTTATTATTTTATAAAATTTTTATATATTGGGGTATTTAGTCAAATTAGTAAACTTAGGAGGTTTTTTAAAAAAATTTAAATTTATAAAAAGCTAAAATATCAAACTTTCAAAGGTATTTTAGTCTTTTCACTATTATCAAACAAAAATCACTAATAAAATATGACTGAAAGTACCTATTTATTATTTCAAAACTTGTTAGGTACCAACTTATCGTTTCAGCAAACGTTCTGCCTATTAAAAATGAAATAAATAAGCAGAAGATGGCAAAGAAAAAGTGAAGATTCTTAAGCTTTTATCAATTATGCCAACCATCGCCAAGAAGAAGAAGACAAAAAACATTTAGCTATAAAATATAAATATACATATTTATATATATTAGTATTTCCTTTTTTGAACAATACAAAAAAAAAAAAAAATTAGATTCGATCAATTTAACTGTTATTCATATATACCCCAACATTTTTTTTTTTTATTTTAATTTTCTTTTTGAACAATTTGCATTTTTAGAAATCAATTAAATTAGAACTTAGAACACCAAAGCCACGAAAGCTGCAACAACAAAACTCAAACCCTCGTACACTCTTGAAGCTCCAGAAGCAGGAGCAACCGGAGTTTCTTCCTTAGTGGGTGCCGGTGGCGAACTAACCGGTGCTTCATCAGGTGCGTCAACGGGTGCCGGTGCGGGTGCCTCAATGGGCGCCTCATTTGGTGCGTCAATTTCGTCTTCATCTGAGCCGGGGGAGTCGGCTGTCTTATTAGAAGAAGAAGAAGACTTAGGAGGCTGAGCTGGGGGTGGAGTGTAGGGTGGTGGTGGTGGTGGAAGAATAACTTCACCAATACCAGGAGCCACAATGGGTTGACTCACTTGTAAAACAGAAACATTAAATGGCTGAGCATAAACAGCTTTAACTAATTTGGCAACAGGAACTGCACCTTTTACAGCTGAACCAAACACAAATTGTTCACCAGGCATACGTGTCACATTCAAAAACCCTTGTCCTTTTTCCGCCACACCAGTTGTTTGATACAATGTAGTAACGATTACACTCTTTTGAAGTTTTCTCAGTTTTTTCATATCATAATAATCAAGAATAACATGATCACTCAAAATCTTCTGAACCTCATCGATGGGTCTGCTTTGAATACCCGCCAGAGAGCTGTTATCAACAGCAAGAATGGTAATGGTTCGGCGATTAGCAATTGATTCAGCAATTTTTGTTTGTGTAAGAAGGTCATTAAAACCAATCAAATCAGGGTATCTATTTAGAAGCTCTGTAACGTCGAAAGATTCAACATTGACAGAGATGAAGAAGACAAAAAGAGTTACGAGAATAAGGGAAGAGGCTTTGGGATTCATAGTTTTTTTTATTTTTTACAATTGAATCCCTTTGTCTCCGAAATATTTGATCGATGAGTTTAGAATAAATATGAGAGTGGCGTATATATATTGAGAGAAAGTGCAACTAAAATTGGGTTAACAAAACTTGGACGTTAGAATTTGATTGGTGAGAGTAAATTTCTCTTCCAAATAATACGTGTTTCTGTTTGGATATATGAATTTTGAGATTTGAGAATATTGTCCGAAATGGCTGGATCTTACTCACCCCATCCATATTTTTATCATAAATATGTGTCATATATTAATGAATGAGCGACCATTATTTAATCATATGCTTCATTTATCATGGCTTTAAAACCTAGATTGGACCAGTCGGTTCGACTTGAGACTGGCCCCTTGACCGAGTCAAGGCTTTGATCCGGGCTATAAAACATTGTTATTTATACGGAATTTCTTTAGTATTTTGAATCACAGTTTGATGTATGCAAGTCAACTTAAGGTTTACATACGCTCAGGCCTGTAGCGGTTACACACTCTAATTTCCATCTCGAGAGAACGAGGATTTATGAATGTTTTAGTAAGAAACCAAAGAGAGACTATAAATATCATAATACCGGCGGCATAAACATTTTGGTACTGTTAATTTTTAATCTATGATGACTTTAAATAATAATACAGTATAAAACCAGTAATGCACATTAGCAAAAACAAAAACTTTCGACCACTGTTAATTTATTGGAACAATTTATCTCAAAACATTCAATACTCAAAATAATTAAATTATATTATCGCTTACAAGGAATTGTTGATACGTGTTATTCTAACACATTTAACATAATTTCATATTCCAATATTACACATTATTTTACGTAATTTACAGCCCCATTAGTTCCCTCTAAAGTCCAACAAAATGCAAAACCAACCCCATCAAAACTGCAACAGCAGCACCCGAACCCAAAGCACATGGAGCACCAGAATCAGCCGGCCCTGGCCCTGGGGGTGGCACCTTACGAGTCATCGGAGACGGTGCCGGTGCCTTTCTTGAGGGAGGAGGAGGTGGAAGAGTAGTATACAGTGCAGGTGCACCAATTCCAGGCGCCACAATACTTTGACTACTATTGTATGGCTCGGCATATACAGATTTCACAAACCTAGCCGCAAGCGGTGAATCTTTCACTTCTGAGCCGAACAAAATATCATTACCTGACACTGTAACATTCGAGAACCCTTGTCCCTGTTGAGCTACACCAGATGTCTGTAACAATGTAGTCATAGTTGTTGTCTTTTTTGGTAGATTTTTAAGTTTATTTTGGTCTATGTAATCAAGAACAACATGGTTCGTCAATATTCTTTGAACTTCATCTTTAGATTTGCCTTGAAGAGATCCCACAGCTCCATTATCCAAAGCAAGAATTGTAAGGCTTGAGCGGCTATTGATCGTTTCAGCAAGTCCACTCTGCGATAGAAGGTTATTAAAGGAACCAAAATCAGAGGTATTGCTAAGGATCTTGGTGATGTTGAACGCATTTGTTAAGCTTGAAGTGAACAGAGCTACCAAGAGGACACAAGGAGCAAGGGTTCGGAGACTCATCTTTTAATGAATTTTAACTTTTTTCAACTCAGGCCTCTGCTGATTTGCTGAAAGAAAAGTCTTGAGGCTGTTTATATATCAACATAGAAAGCTAAAATTAGTATTAATTAATCAATAATTCATTAACAAATCCTTTCATGTTGTAGGGTGGCAGTGAAATTTATTCCCCAAGACTAGTACAGCGGAAGTTTAATTAACTTAATTTAACAAGTTTCACAATTAAGTCATCTGTTTTAAACACCCCCTCCCTTGAGTTTG